TAAACCTTGTTTAACTCACCGTCGTCTCGTCCGCTCGTCTCCTCAGCTCTGCGCAGAAGCAGTCGCGAGCTGAGAAACATACGCTACCAAACGGCTGGTGACCTTCCCGGCGGGGTCGAAAGCAGTGGCGCCTCCGGGACCGCGTCGGCGTCGCCGTCTTTCGCAACAGTGGTGGCTTCGGCGGGATCGGTCCGCCGTTTCGTAACACAGCCTAGTATTATATCAGTGAGCTACGCTTGTGCTTGCCTTAGGCAAGCCATTGAGACATTGAAGCAATGGGAAGCAATTGAGAACATTGAGACATCAAGCCTGCCTAAGGCAAACTTGCCTTAGTTTGCCTTAGGCGTGCTTGATCTCGGGAAAGCAATCGCGTTTACAAGACTAATAAAACGCTTTAGAAAGCGAAAGAACAACCAGTCGTCGCACAATGCGAAAAGCGTAACGAGTGGGCCGTCCAGTGCTCCCACGCATTACAAAAGCTTGTTCTTGTTGATTGATTGATATGTGGGGTTTAACGTCCCAAAACCACCATATGATTATCAGAGACGCCCTAGTTGAGGGCTCCGCAAATTTTGACCACCTGGGGTTCTTCAACGTGCACCCAAATTTGTTCTTGTTCCCCTAATAACTGTGGCGCATACTCAGTTTAGCCATAATTCGTCATCGTCATCGACCACTGCATGAACAATTGGCACGAAATTCCTTGCAAGTGTGTAGCGGATACCACTCTTCTCAGAAGAATGACGAAATATAGCGTAGCGAATGCCGGCCTACTGCCCCAAAATTTATTATTAATGCCGTACTGGGTGTCACGTGTGCTTGCAGCAGTTACCCCATGAGTTTTTTCAAAGGCCTCTGAAAGGCCGTTCTTCTAGCTTTCACTGCTACTGCTGCGCCTTCTGCTCAAGCCAGGTGTTTTTTATGCTCTTTGAATGATCCTCACATGTTAAAACATTTCTTGGTCTTGTTGAATCACTAACATTGAGACTGCTGGCGTGGAATAAATGATATGTCCCATTTATTGCAGGTGGTGTACTGATTGTCCCCCTAGCCCCAAGTACCGTAGTCCAGCCTTCTCGTTTGGGCATACCTCCCACAGGCCTAGGAGCAACTGGAATGAACTTGGGCGCGGGACCCACGGTCATGGGTTTGCCTGGAATGGGTTCCATGGGAATGGGATCTGTTGGCATGGGCAACATGGGCATGCCTGCAACGGGCAGTGGTATCGCCCAACAACCTCCTCCAGGTATGCATATCCAGGGTGCAATAAGGGCGAAGCTCCTTAGGCTTTGGGTCATTTTTCTTCTCTGTAGTCATAATAGTAGTATGTAGCCACCAACTCTAGCTTATGAGTTGCTATATATATAGCGTTAAGTGTATATGTCCTTTGGAATAGTAGAGTAACAGGCTAGAGCGAACTAGCTCAGGCCGACCTCTCTGCCCTCTAATAAATTTTCACTCACACTCCTTGGGAATAATATAACCAGAAGACGTTAATGGTTTTCCCAGCATGCCCATGAAGTGAATGATGATGAGTAGGGCGAAGCATCCATCCGTCCGTCCGTGTGTCCATCCATGCGTGCTTAAGTCCGTTCACTCATCCGTTCATTCGTTCGTGCCTCCGTCTATCCGTTCCTTCGTTTTTCCATCCATCCGTCCGTAAGTTCATCTGTCCAAGCTTCTGTCCGTCCGTCCATGCGTCTGTGCTTCTGTCCGTCCGCCTGTCCACGCTTTCGTCCGTCCATTTTTGAGTCCATCTGTGTGTCCGTTCGTCTGTCTGTTCATTGGTGCTTCCGTCCATCCGCGCATCCATCCGTCCGTCCATGCGTCTATACTTCTGTCCGTCCCTGCGTGCGTCTGTCTGTCCATGCTTCCATCCGTCCGGACGGATGAACGCTTCGCCCAACTCATCATCGTTCACTCCATGGATATGCTGTAATTTTTACAAATACATTATTCTAATTGAAGGTCTTACGTCCCTAAGGGTCCTGTCATGTTGACACACGAACTTGATGTTGAGTCGGGAATACTTTACTGCAGTTAGCATGACACTGTTGCGACTAATTAAGTAAAGGTTTTTATAACCGAGCGCTTTATTTCGTTGCCGCAATAAATGCCAGAGATCAAAACTATCTAACGCACGCATTCTCGCCTTGTATAGAGGTAGTTTCTTTAACTAGTCCATCATCCCACTTGACTGATGAAATCGAAGAGACACAGAGAGAGAAAGATGCAAGGGAAGGCAGGGAGGTTGATCAGGGGCACGTCTGGTTTGCTACTCTGCAACGAAGGAGACAAAGAGGTAGAATAAAGGAAACAAAGATATACAGAGTCACGAGCACATTTAAGGGAGGACACGCAGTCTTCAGGAGGTCACTCAGATTTGTTGCGTTCAAGTACTGCAGTAGCGCTTTAGTCGCTTTCTGTGCTATTGAAGCACACGCCCATGGTCCCAGAATCCTATGCGACGAAACTAGTCCTAAGTCAAGTTGGTTAAATATCATCCGGAGCTGGCATCGGTGGGTGTCGTTGCGAACGCAGCTCGACAGGACCTGTTCGATGTTCGCATCCACTCTGCAGGAGTCGCATGTCGAGGTTTCTGCCATACGTGTGAAATCGAAAGTCAGACCGAAACTACCCGTCACGTGGGAGTGATGAAATTCGAATGACGGTGCCCCACGGCCACAGTTTTTTTATATGTGTGTCTCCTTGTGTGTTTTAAATGCACGCAAGCAAGCTCACTTGCATCGGCGCATCACCTTACTTTTGCGCGCAGTGTTTCGAGGGTCCCTCTCACTGTAGAAGCGGGCAAAAGAAAATCTGGATTGCAGCCTTCTCTTTGTTTGGAAAGCATAAACACTCGGGTGTTGACTGCAGCGCTTCTTGCTGAGAGCAGAAACAGTATTTCACACTTTTTTTATAGTTTAGGACAGAAACAAATATGCACCACTCAACGCACACAAATATTTTCCTGTCCGCTAGCGTATTTCAGAAAGCTTGACGATTTTTTCTGATCCAATTCAACTTTGATGTGCCTTCATGGAAATTCTATCAATTCCATCTGACGTGTGATGCGTGTAATCTGCCGCTCTTGGCGTGCCTGGCGCGATTAGTTTCTATTTCATACATCAATTTCATAGATAAACTTCTCGAACTTAGTGCACATTAGCAATTTAAAAAAAACAGGATGTGCAATTATTCAACAGGTATGAAAACAGTGTAATTAAATTACTTCTCAAGTTCATAATAACAAATTAGAGCGTTTATTATTTAGTTGTCAATGTGTCATGTTAACCGGCGGCAAGGTATTTCCGCCTCGACGTGGAGTTTGTGTGCGGAAGCGACGGGAGCCTTATAGGCATCGAATTTCTTGAATAAAATCTGAATTTGTTGAAAGAAACACCCTGTATATATTACGTAGGTTTGCATGCTCACGGAAGATTACAGATTCGTTCTTTATAAAAATAGCACCAAAGTTAAAACATGAAGAAATGCCTCGTCGGTGGTGTAGTGGCTTAGGTACTCACTCGGCTGCTGACCCGCAGGTCACGTGATCAAATCCCGGCTGCGGCGGCTGCATCTTCGATGGAGGCGAAAATGCTGTAGGCCAGTGTGCTCAGATTTGGGTGCACGTTAAAGAACTCTAGGTGGTCCAAATTTCTAAAGCACTTCACTACGGTGTTTCTCATAATCATATGGTGGTTTTGGGACGTTATACCCCCGAAGTCAATCAAATAAATCAAAAGACGAAGAAACTACCAAATTCGCCAAGGCGCACTCATTATCATCACTGTTGTCATTATCATCTCCACCACCACATTCAGCATCACAATAATGAATTGCCTGTATTCTACGTCCATAGGAGGACAAAGAACTCTTGTGAAGTCTACGAATAACCCTGGCGTGTGCGAGCTGATTCTATTTCAATCATGAAAATTTTCAATTACATCAGTTTCATCCATCCCCTAACGCCTCCCCCGCAATGACACTTCGTATCCCCATGAAAAAAACTCTAAAACAACCCGTAATCTGTCTTATGCATTGTAGACTGAGAAACACCTATTTCTGTATTTTTGAGACTAGATAGCTGGGCCTAAGTCACGTCGTATGAATGACAGGCAACAAGATTGATAGTATAAGGCCAATATTTGCAAGGATCGTTGTCCTCACAGGACTGACCTACCGCAGAAAGTGAAAACTTTCCTTCTCCTAGATGGCTCATTTTACAACTAATTTTACAACCGCACCGTCGCAACTTCTGTGTATCCAGTTGACTTTCTCTCATTTTTCAAATTATGCTATTAGTTGTATAATGAGTTCTGTTTTCATTATTGCCCTGTAATTCCAATTCTTTAATTTTAACCTAATTTATGCTCTTAATCTGAAATTGTTTTTGTGTATTCTTGTTCGACCCCACCCACCGAAATGTAATACCCCGTCAGGGGCCCTTAAGAAAAACTAAAATGATGATCATTATGAAGAAGAAGAAGAAGATGATGACAATGATGGCAGAGAATAAATATATGCCTGAAATTGGGTGCTATAGAAGCGCCAAGGAGTTAATTCGAAATGCAGTGCGCTTAGCCATAACTCTACAACACGTGTTTGACAAAGCTTGTTGGGGTATTTTAACATTTAGTTCTGCGAGGATCTCGTTGAATGTGAACGTGTACACGCTGCATATAATAATCGCTCATATAATAATCGCACAGGAGGAGTGCGGATGCTTCGACACACCCAAAGTTTTTGAATATGCAAGATGAGAATGGCATCTGACTGCGGATGCCCCGCAGTCAGTTTTATGCGCATGCTGACACCCCCTTGAAAAAAAAAGATACTGTATCCACCCCTGCATGCGACTAACACCCCTAATAACTTCCCTAGAAAAGCTTGTAAGCAAGAATACCTTCAGCAATTCAGTTCCTTGCTACAGTTGGATACCTAATTGTTGTTGCCTTGATTGTTGGGAGAATTGGTAAGGTTGGTTTTCTTTAATACTCTTTATTCTACGGTAAGTGCTACTACAAGGAAAACCTCCAGCTGAGGCAATAGGAAGATGGCGATCCATCATTAGAAGCCAAGTTCTCTATCGAAAGCCTTTAATGCTCCATCAGAAGGCTGGAAATTATAATGCTGATCTAACTTTTACTGGGAGGCCAACATGATGCACGAGCACCTAACACTCTTCTTTTCCCTGCAGCGATGAATTACGGCTAAGCTATGTGCAATCAATTAGTATACAAACTAGAGGGGACTTGGGCATTTTTATCGTTAGAAGAACATTAGGAAAAATGAAACTGCTCGTTGTTCATCATCAGTTAACAATAAAAAAATAAAAACCTCTCCACGAAGTGAATCATGACGAGTAGGCGAATCAGTGGGAATAGATCGGTGTTATCGTAAATCACGCGTGACGTTATCGATCCGCACGTGTAAATGAGCCTCTACCTCCGGTAGACAGTGCTTCTGGCGTATGTTCAGAAAAGTTCATCATAAACAGTTCGCGTCTATAACAATTCCACTTAACATTATGACATTCGCTAATTAGACATACGTTTCCGAGAATAGCAAAACAGAAAGACACAAAACACGGAATGCCGCGGGAGTGAGGTGTACAATCAATGCTTTCTTTGTCAACTATTTTAATTGATTGGTGGTGAAATGTCGGTGTTTTCAGGCGTTGTGGCCTTTTATTGTGTTTGTGTGGTTACCAGCCTTATGTTAACTTTTTTTGTTTTTCACAGATGTTTTGGTTTGTTCGTATGCACCTTTGCCACGTTCGCCGTAAACGCCGCACGGTATTTTATGGACCGAGGGGCATTGTGAGGTCTTAAGGTGGTTCGCGACTCTAACCAAAAATGAACAAAAACTAAATGACCCTGCGAATCAGCAAGGAAGCATGGTGGCTTGGTAGCCACCCAAATACTGCCAGCTGACAAAACTGTGGAAACGAAAAATGTTCTGGGTTTCATACATGGAACCATAATTGGAACAAGGGCCAAGAAGAGTGAGAAGAGTGATGCTTCCAGCAGTTGAACATTTATTCACAACAAAACTAATTATATATTTGGTATACGGAATACCTTTCAATACACCGCTCTACTTCACAGAAAAAAAGACAAATAAATACATGAAGCAAAGTTATACAAGCGAAATTTGCTGTTCGTATGTCTGATGAAAATCAGGCATACGGCAGTCGACATATCCTCATGTCGTTATATCAGTAATAAAATATTACCAATTAATCAGCAAAGCATCGTTTCTGTCCTTACACAGGGTAGCAATGTTGTTTAGTTTACCACAAACATTAACAAACTCAGGCATGTCGAATTCGCATGCAGTCACACTCGCGTTCAAGCACACCTGTGAGAAGTCAGAGCGAAATTCCGAAATTTCAAAGGCGGCTTTCGACCATTTTATGGCGGCGGATTTGTTTTCGGCGTCTCTTTTTAGCAATGTGACTAACGTGGTTCTCTACGTGACACTGTTTACAGCGTGTGTACATAATTTACCTTAGAGGTGTAATGACCGAACCAAAACATATACCACTGAAGTTTAGTGAGACTGAGATCAAGCAATGTGCCGCGCAAATATGTTGCTTACGACGCCATATTTACTTATAATAAACTCATACAAAGGTATATTCCATTTCGCTCAACTAAGAACTTTGCGCTTGCAGTTTACAGCTAAAAGCCGTCCTCATTGCATGGTCTATAGCTTAGTAACATTGGTTAACGTCGTTCCTGGATCAGACTGTTGTCACGTCCACGAAAACGTCGCTTGTTCGGGGCTTCAAATGATGTTGGTGCTTTTCCGTGTTCTCTGCGTCTAACTTATGACAATTGGCAGTGCCTCATTAGGTGTATGAAAACGCATGGCAACAACCGCAGTGCAGAACGTCTGCATCTAGGCCACAGAAGTGTGTTCACTTCATTTTGATTCCTACTGTCCAAACTTTCAGTGGAAGTCAGTGCTGCTGGTAACCCTTGCGGCAGCGATGAAACGATAGAGCATGTTCCCTGTCACTGCCCTCGTTACAGCGTGCAAAGACGGCAGCTAGCTGCTGCGTCAGCTCGCCTTGACGAGGGACCCTTTCCAGAACAGTCAGTGCTTGAAAAGCGACATAATCTGTCTTCGCACAGAAGTTCAGTGAAGGCCTTATTGAACTTTTGGTGTTGTTGTGCCCTCTTGAGTAGGCTATAGCAGCACAGGTCACTTTTTTTCTTCTGTTTTTCGTGCGTTTATTGCGCTCTTCGCTTTCTTTCCCAATTTTATTCCCAATCCTCCCTTTTATTAGTGCAGGGTCGCAAACCGGACGCTGAAATTTCTGGTTGACCTCCCTGCCTTTCCCTCATTTTATTCTCTCTCTCTCTCTCTCTCTATCTCAGTGGTTTTGACTGACAGCGAGGGTGAAAAGAAAGTGGTGGGAAAAGTAAATCCGCTCACCGGTACGATAGTGCTCGAAGCCGACAAGCTGAAGGACAGCCTCGGTCAGGTTGCAGCTGAGGAGCCGCCAGCACCGCCTGAAGAAGATCCGGCTGAGTGAGGCAACGAGGAGGCCTAATCCTACTTCATATTTTACTTTAATGAAGATGGTGCTAAAAAGAGATATCCTTGATAGTATGGCTTCCAGCATATAAATGATACCATGTGCCAATACATATGTTTGTCCAGAATATGCGTATCATGTGCGCCTTCAAAGCACAGTGCTTTTAATAAACTGTTCTAGTTTTCTGAAATGATCTTTTAGACATACAGATATTTTTTGGTTGTATTTCTCAATCATCTAGTTTAAAACGTTCAACGCGGCTTAGATTTGAACATTTATTCATATACCTATTTATTAATTTATGAATACTGAAACTCCATCAGGAGTTGTAGCAGGGTAGCATACAAAGCATGAACAAAAATACACAATAAGATTCACGCACATAAAGATTGCAATAATAATAATTATAATAATAATAATATAAAGAGAAAAGACACACATTTGTAATGTGCAGATTAAAGGACATGTAATTAACATGTGATCTGGTGCTTCTACTTTTGAAAAACACTCATTCCACAACAATTTAGGCTGACGAAAATTGGCAAAGCTTGCTGCTACTCGACGAGAGATATGTCACCGTACTAGTCAGCAATAGAACCGAGTTGTTTGCTTTGCGAAGGGGATTCTTCAAGGTTGGTTCATTGGACTGGTTCGTCAAAACTTTTTGTATTAAAAAAAACAGTGCGACTGAGATGTAGTGCAAGCTAAGCAACAGAACGGAATAGCGTTGGTCCTGTGTGTTCTTTCGCTTGAGTTACGTCTCGTTTGTGCTGTTTTTCCCATGTACGGGCAGAAAAGGGATGGCTTGTATTCGCCCCACATACGCTTGCCATAAAAATTTACGGGAATACTGTAGGGACTTGAAAAGGCATGGAGTAGATGATAAATATTGTGTAAACGACGAAGATAGTCACTATCATCATTAGGGGATTAGACCGGCATTCGAAATAAAGAAGAGGTTGATGGGTGGGCTTCGCCATGGGCATGGCGGCTGGTCCTTTCCTCAACATTTTGGTGCCGAAACCCGGGAGGAAGGACTTTTGGAGGTGAGACGGAGCGGACTTCACAAATTTCGACCGCAGTCGTAGCCTCGAGGACTTCTGTGAAGCCGCCGTGGCTAAAGCTGATGTGCGAGGCCTAACCACCGCCGAGACCTGAGAGCACGACTCCGGTTGCAACTGAGACCACTAGGAGCACCAATGGACTGACGTGAGTACTGGCCTCGTCTGGAGGTTCGCGATACGGGAGCCTTCACGTCTACTTTGGCTCTGTCCTGACTCGCCCTTCACGACGACGCCCCGATATTCACAAGGCAAGGCAGTTCATAGATCAACGAAGTACATCTTGGCAGTGTAGCCCATGAGTGCAGGCATCGTCTGGAGGCCCATGGTACGGGAGCTCTCACGTATTCTCCGGCTTAGTACTGACTCGTCCTTCACGACGATAGCTTGATATGCACAAGATCAAGAAGAAGGACAGCCCCAAAAGTGAAAGATATTTGTTGTGCAAACCTTTTGCGATAGATGCCGAGACGACTCCGACTTCGCCTCGTGACACGGCCGGCCAGTGACTTCTCACGTTTCCGGCACTGGATCGGATCATGGAGGCCCTCTACGAAAGGCGGAGTCAAACACGCAAGGCCGTCATGCAAATCATCGCAGACGTCGAACGTCTTCGGCAATCGGATTGCCCAATAATCTGTGAGTTACGACGTATTCACGGAGTTTTGATTGAGCAATATGAGGAACTCAAAAGAATTGACCAGGAAATAGAGGATGCAGTTGACATCAAGTATTTGGAAGCTGAGATGGATGAGGCTGAAGTTTATGAGCGTCAGATTATTTTAGCGAAAGTCAGAACCGAATATAAAATCGCCAACGCATTGAAGGCACGGAAGGCTCGTTTGGAGACAACAAGACTACAGATTAAAATGGAAGCAGAGAGAAAGGCACTCTCTGCGTCTGCGTCACCACCATCCAGCCAAGGCCTATTAGACAGCAATCTTGTAGCACATGTGCCAGTCGAGTCAGCCTCAGGACATATTCTTGAGCGTGGTGGAAGCCAATCAATCAGGACCTTCACTGAAGTAACGGCCATTGGAGGAGCCTGTGCCGAACAACCGCTACTTACAAGGACCCGGCCCACGCCTGCAGAGCTGTCGTCAGCGTGCCATACCCATGAACTTGTTGTCAAGACATCTAGAACAACTCTGGTGTTCGAGGCAGAAGGCATTCCCATGATTGAAAAGGGGGAATACTTTGTAGACCCAAAGGGCCACACACTAGATGCTGAGGACACGTCCAAGTCAAGGCTGGCAGATTTAGACGCTGTAAAGTCTTCATCGCCCTGCGTACAAGTGCCCGATGGAGGAAAATCAAGGTCAATTCTCAAAGCGACAAGAAACAAAAAAGAAACAAAAGGCCACGATGACACAAAAGCCAGCCCCTTGCGCTGCTGAAAGCTTAGGTTCTTCGAGAAAACTACAGAAGTTAATATTAAAGAGAGTGTGCAAGGCACATCTTATTTCAGCAAAGTTGATAAATGCTGACTCAGTGCAGCAGCGGCGAATGAGAGAGACTAAACGAAGGGGGAAGCGGAAGGGTTACAAGCTAAATGCAGCAACGAACAGAAAGCAAAGGAAAAGGTTGCCCAAGTATAGCTACACGAGATCTTTCTGAAAGAGTCCTATCTGCGAATTTTTATGCCAAAGAAACTTGCTCAACGACAATGAAGGTTCATCAAGGTCAACGCGTTCAGAAGCACGAGTGTGGAACAAGCGCCGAAACCACCGCTGGAAAAGCAGACGTAGTTTGATATCATGGATTTTCCCACATGGACTGACCTGGACGTATACAAGTACTCTTGAACAGCGTGTGCTTCTAACTCTGTGTGTGCTGGTGTTCTGCATCAACAATTGTTAATGTGGGGCGCGGAGGATGTTAAATATTGTGTGAACGACGAAGATAGTCACCATCATCATTAGGGGATTAGACCAGCATTCGGAATAAAGAAGAGGTTGACGGGTGGGCTTCGCTATGGGCACAGCGGCTGGTCCTTTCCTCAACAAACGTCTCAGAATTTACATATATTCTTGCTGCTAGTAATAGGACATAATTCTGCCCTGAGCAGATGAGAGATAAAGAAGGGAGGCATTAGTCCTTATTGTCACAGTATGATGTACAAAAAAATCAACTCCATGTCTTTTTTTAATTATGCGACCTACAGGTTTGTAGGGCTAAAGTAAGGCAGAAAGGTGCTACCGTAGGTAAAGTAGTGGAGTGACGTGCTTGCAGCGTAACCAGTTCTTAGTTCAGAACCTCAGCCTATTTTGGTACACTAGAAGATATAGCTCGGCAAGTTGTTCGTAACTCAATATGTAAAAACAACAACCCTGAATAAGACAAGGACCAGAAAAGACGCGACACACGCGCAGTGTCACATGAAAATTGTTAAAAGGCACTTGCACATACATATAAATCGTTAACCTAGTCACATGACAAGCCGTGGCATCTGTGCAGGAGCGTGATCAGGACCAAGAAAACACCGATCATTAGCTTTTTTATTGACCCTCACTACTTTGCTGCACATCTGCTATGTCTTGTCATGTGACTAAATTGATGACAGTTTGCAACGATACTTGCAGTGGGCGCCCAGAGTGTTTGAACTGAGCTCCACGATTGCTGCTGCGGCAGCTTACGCTGTGACTGTGTTGCTCGTTACGCACGGGCCTGGTATTTTTTTTCGCGTTTGCTAGGCGTCAATAGAATACATCATGTGTGGTTGTGAAGTTAGACACTTTCATCCTCTGCTAGCTATTCTAACACATCATTTGTCTTCGTGCATCAACAGCGCATGTAGAACGTGCTGTGGCTTTCACGTGGTGAAGAGCAGGCAATCTCTGCACCCAAACATAGGTACACCTGAATAAGCAAAAAAAAAATGGAACAATTAAATTCTTTTCTAGACAATACCTGCAACCTGGAAAGATATACGCAGCAACATTATTGCTTGAAAGGAAGAGTACTACCAGCGCGAAACACCAACATGACCGAGTCGTATAGTAAAGCGCTAACTACCAGTATATATTACACTTGTGTTCACCGTGCCTTACACAATGCGTCGAATTTTCCTAGATGTCGACGCTGCGGGGAAGGCAGTCTACTGTATGGTATGGGCACGTGCAAGCACGTCAAATCTCGCCCCTAATTCTCCACAGGTCAATCTAAGACATCATTTTGCAGCTCGGGTTTGACTGATAGGCTCAAGCGCTTTAGCAGAACGGGAAGAGCTAAGTTTACTAGAGTCTAGGACTGACTGGACATTACACATGAATTCGCAAGAGGCAACGCATGCTTAATTGGCCTTTTGCCTTGTATAAAACCTATCCTCCTCCTCCTCTCTCTCTCGAAGGCAAACGCACGTCAAGTCGGCCATCTACAATCAAAACAATTAAAACAATTGGACATGTTTACTGCATCGCATAAAAAAATACGAAATAAAAACGTTGGGTGTGACTTAACTAATTTATGTCTTACTGTGCGTAGTGAAAGGTTCGCTTAATATTATTGCGCAGATTTAGTAGAACGTCCGCAGCAGCTTTGCAAACACAGCCTGCCTTAAGAAATGGCTGACAAGCTGCGACTGCTCAGCTGCTTTGGACGCCGAATTAAATCTGTCTATTGTTTAGCTTCTCAAAGCGTGTGGCTCGTTCTTCATTCATCGCCTCGGCGTTGCTGCCTCCTCTTGGTTTTGTTTCTACGAGACGAAGCCAAGCTTTTTCTAGTCTCTACATCTCACTTTCTATATCTTTCGCCGAATCCCATGAAATAGCCCCTTCTAAATTTTTCCTGTCTTTTTTTTTCTAAAACGGTCAAATGCACTTCAACTAAAACTTGGGGAAACCCACTTTCTGGCTAATGAAATTATAGTCAATCCTGCTTAAACAATCTTAACCAGTGTGTTCCTCCCCCATAAACACCTCGAATTTATGGCTAAAACTTATACAGCCCAATATCGTTGGTACTCAAAAGTAAAGGTTGCACTTGGCTTTAAAATTGCAACATTTCATTTGGACTTAGTTTAGCTAGTAAAATAGGTCTAAAATGATTGAAACGTATGGTATAGCAATATTGCG